GGAAAGATGAAATGACTGAGATCATTTTCAGTCCTGTCAGCTGTGAAGATGTGGTAGCCATCATATAAAACAAGCATATGGCTGGGTCTTAAGGGCTTTTTCAAACAGGGGATCCAATATAGGCTGCCAAGTTGTGTGCAGGAACATCTGCCACTTTGGTTCTTTATCACAACGCCCTCCTGCACCGCCAGGAAACCTGAGCTGGTGCCTGCTCTTTTCCAGGCTGGCATTTCATGGCAAGAGCAGGCCACAAAAATGCAGAGCTGCATATCTGCAGGCTCAGCTATAGGCTCCTGAATTTTAAAGTTTTGAGAATACCTTGGGAAAGATGAGACTCGCCTATCTGGAGGATGGCAGCAGAAACCCAGTTGCAAGCTGTAAGGTGAACGTGGAGGGACTTAGATGTTGAACAGCCTTTCCAGGTGGACCAGGAAGCAATTATTCTGAGATACTCCTTTAGCTCACAGGTGGAGCAATGCTGTTTGCACAGCCATTGTTGGGCAGGCCAGGAAGGACCCATTACTACTTTATCTGATTTTATTCCTTTTACATGGTCCCTGCCAAAACTCTTGTCTAGTAGGCTAAATATCTCTGTACCTTGCTTTATTTGTAGTATATTGGTTTAAATCACTCAGCTTCTGAGTATTGAGCAGGAATTGTCTCTATACATGAGGTCCTAACTGTGCCAGTGACTGCACTGGCTCTTCATATCTAGTCAGAATGAGTCTCCAACTTCAGCTACTCAATTTCTCTGCTATATGATGTTCTTACTTTTTGTGAGAATTGCTGTAATTTACCTCTAGAAGCTGTTAGGAAGCTCTTGGGCCTGGCAGAAGCTACAGGGCAGTTTTGGATGGCCACAGGGCGTCACAAGGAGTGGATGCACTGCCCTGCAGTCTGTCACCTTTGTAGATGCAAAAACTGAGGAAAACAATATCAGAAAGGGATTTAGCTCAAAGGAACAAACTGTTCTGTTTTTGGGGGTTTTTTTGGTTTTTTGTTTTGTTTTGTTTTTTCAAGTAGTGGATTTCATGGCTCTCTTGGAGAAGCAGGATTGTAAAATGTAATTCACACTGTCCTGATTATTTTGCTTTTTCCATGGGCACCAGGGCACCCAATGCACTGGAATGTTGATGTATTTAGCAATGCCTGTGAAGTGGCCAAAGTGGGGAGCAACTGCCCAAGCTGCATCTGATGGCTCACACTGGAGGCAGACTCCTTCCCTTTGACCTTGAAACACAATGATATTCTCATAGGTGTGTGGCCTTACCCATGCCTTCCTTCTACTGATGGATCTGCAAAAGTTAGGTCTGTGCTTAAGAGAAAATATTGCCAAGGGAATTTGCAGTTAACCATTTACATCCTCATCAGCTGCTAATAAAAGAAAACCCAGTATATTTAGTGCATAATAAGTAATTTTTTTTTCCCCCCAAGTAATCAGCACAGTCATGACAAACTTTCCTATGAAAATACTTGTGGTGATGATTGTTTGCATTCCAAAGGTGCATGGCACATGTGACTAAAATCACTGTCCTTCAGAACTTTTTATGTAACAACATTTACTTTTTGTCTGGGTTTTTTATTTGCTTAGGGTTTTTTTTTTTTTGTGTGTGTTTGGTTTGGTTTAGGGTTTTCTTTCAAAGCAAGGCCCCTAAAATGTTTTTCAAAACAAAGGCTGACCCTTTTTTTATATTTTTAGTTTTAAAGCAAAATATATATCCCTATGCCAGAAAGTTAATTTACCTGTTCTAATCCCATAGAACTTCCTCTGAAAATCAGAGAGGACAGGGTAACACGGAAAGATCTGTGAAGGTGTGGGAAGTTGGATGGCTTGCTATTTGTGAAGGCATTTAACAGTGTTCTGAGTAATTTTAGCTGGTCAATGCCCCATTTATAAATATCAAGATATCTGCCATGTTTATCTGAGACAGACTTCTGTAATGTGTCTTCATTTGTTCTCACCTAGGTTTTGTTCTTACCCTCATTTTAAAACTTTAGTTATTTACTGTGGGAGCCAAAACCCTTCTCACCCCCATCCCATGTACTTAATGATCAACTAATGAGCAGGGAGATAAGCAATTCCTGAAGTACTCCCTTTGCCTAAGGTAACTGTTGAATAGGAACCATGCTCCTAGAAATTGGGACCACTCTGGAAACATGTCTTAAACAGATGTAAAACTGCAGCCATTGTAATCAAGAGATTAACAGATAAATATGTAATTCTGGCAAGTTAACCTCCCATATGAACTATTTTAAATTTGAAGATTGCTAAAAATGAGGGTTTTAATCAACATGAATCAAAAACAGTTCCAGTGGCTGGATTTAAAAAATAGGCAAGTTTTGGCTCATGTGTCTAGCACTGGCTGGAAAAAAATAACAAAAACATTGTTGTTGGGTGTAATTGACTAAAAAGTGCAAAAAATTTTTAAAAAATAGATATCTATTGGCAGGATATTTATTTATTCCCTAGGTTAGAGAACTGGATGTTCACTGTGACTAGGGTTTTCTGCTGAGAGGAATAAAAAATTCTAGGTGTTGACAGGTTACAAGTTAAAAAATATAGAAAGTGATTTATTTACATTACAAACATGAAATTGAGTTACAGTTGGTAAAAAGACAAGTGGCACTAGTTAAACAGTAGAAGGGGGATATAAACCCAATTGAATGGACAAATTAACTTTGTTAAAAAATTTGAGCTGGCACAAAGATAATAGAGCCTTTAGGAGAGAAACTGTTCATTTTGCTTGTGTGCTATGGTGTTTTTCTAATGGTTAAAGTTCTTTAGTCAAGCTTTTTCACCATCCTAAGGGAACCAAAAGACATTGGTCAACAGAAACAGAATGGAAACTGGACTTCACGTCCTTACTCTCCATATCTTAATACTTGCTGAAGTATCGATAAACCAATTCTGGTTCTTTTTCTTCCTGTAAGTAAAATTGTGCTTCTGCATAACATGGACACCACTGATTTACAAATGGAGCTAAACAGAGTTTTCAGGACTTGAACAACAAGCCCAGAGAATCCCTTACAAAATAATATCCTAGAAAGCAAAGTAATAGAGTCTGACCAAATTGAAGGGAAGTTGAAGCCTTTCAGCAGTGTCCATTTGAGGCAGTTGAGACAGGGACTGAAATGCATTTAGCAGGATCCCTTTTCTTTTCAGTAACGAGCTGTACTCTGGTTCACCTCGTGCCCAAGGATTTCACGGTGTGTGACACAAGTGAGGTGAACGGTATCTGGACGCTGTCAGGCACTGAACAAGGGGATCTTAACATGCTTGTTAGTCCAGAAAATCTTCAGCTATTTCCAAAACTGTTCAACGTGAGAAAGGTGGATGGGCTTAAAAGATACACACAAGGTCATGCTGCAAATTAGTAGCAAGATGGGAAGCACCTCGCAAAGAGTCCCCTCCTGGGACTGCGGGGCTCATCTGCCTACCTGAAAACAAAAGCAAGCCAGACCTCTCTGCAGTGACCAATTTAAGCAAATTTGTATTGAATAATTTGCTATGAGATTCAATTAAAAAAGAAAAACCTTGTAAAGCTACACTAAACTCTGCTAACAGTATAGCAGTCATTCTTTGATGTGATGCTGTAGAGGAGCCGAAGCAGGATGTGCTGTTTCTGTGTAGTTTAATAAAAACGAGGCTGTAAAACATCTTCTGATGCAAAAATCCGAGGCTCTTGTCAACATCTAACACTGAACCTTAAAATCACCAGGCCTGAATGCATGTAGATGAGCTGTATTTGTTAATTTTAGCAGCATCTGTGCCCATTTACACCAGCTAAATATGTAGCCTAACATTCAATATAAGCAATTTTCTTGTCCCTTCCCAATTAGCTCCATTACAGAAAATCTAATTAAATCATATCTTTTAGCAGGAACGAAGAATTCAAGAGCTACATATTTTCACTTAATTAAAAGCTCTTCATCTTGAACTGTTAATTTTCTGAAAAAGATATCCAGTAGTTCTTTCTCTGATCCACTTTGGTTACTGAATGAAATGGCTCATTTACTCTGAGTTAGCTCTTGAACTGTGTGCTTAGGCTCCAACTCTTGTGAAGAGCTTAGTAGATGATAGGAATCATAGCGGCTTTCCTCCGCACCTCTGGATAAAATCTCTTCAGGTACAGCTTGTGTTTCTTTTGGGCCCAGAGAGACATCTGGATGACCATCACGAAAGCAAAAATGCCAGCTACCAAGGGAAAAAAAGAAAAAAAAAGAATGGAACATGCGTCTTCTTGTAATGTCTGTTACTGTGAACACAGGAGTGTCTTATGAAAAAGTCTCTAGTCTGTTCTGTGGGCAGACATAAGTTGATTCTGCCCCTGCTGATACCCCATAGCCTGAGGCTCAGCCTCCACATCAGAAGTCACAGAGATGATGTTCACATCTATTAGACACACCCTGTATGTCCCATGACTCCACCATAAATTGTAAGGCCTCCTTGGACATGGTGCTGTCTCAACACAAAATTACCCATGGCTTCTCTCAACTATTTTTCTGGTTTCCTTTTGGCCTATAATATTTCTTTGTTTCAGCTTCTGGCTCCCAAACACAACAGGGAGCTGTGCTGTAACTTCCTGTTGCATGGAAAGGGAGCTCAGCCCTGGAGCAAGTAGGCAGCAGGGCATGAATCGATTTAGCTGCCTGGCAGCAAGGTCTCACAAAGCCTGACAACTGTAGCTGCCCAGGCCCCTGCTGTGGTTGTCAGGAGCCAGTAAGGAGTCCCTCAGGTACTTCAGCCCCTTCAGGCTGAGTGGCACTGAGTGGGAAGTGCTTTTACAGGTGCTTTTTGCAAATTCATTACCCTTTCTTCCTTAAAATTTCACAGCTGGTCAAGTTCTGTTTGGGACGGCTATAGCAAGGGTGGGTGTAGTGCATATGTTGCTGCTCCCTGCCCTCCTAAACACAGCCCTACAGTGTCCTCAAATTTTCAAGTAATTTCTATGCCAGAACCTAAAGCCCAGAAATGTTCTATCTTGTCAAACAAAATTAAGAGTTTCATTTTTGCATGATGCAATTTAATCCACTTTTGAAATTCCTTTCTTTTTCATTTGTAAACCATGTGGGTCTACTCTTTGCAAGTAGCTTTTATAGGTTTCTATTTTGGAACAGAAAAGTAATTAAAAAATGAATGTTTTGGAAAGCTTAGTCCCAGGGACCATATTTGTATGGGTATTTAGGTCTCTAAGGATGCAGGAAAGTACTAAGCAAGAGTTGCAAATGCTACTAAGCAGGCTGCTTTTACAGGCTAGCTGACTGCTACAAGCAAATGGGGAAATGCTACCAGGAATGTGTGCCTTTCCTCTCCTGAAATACTAATTACATCCATTTTCCTCTCCTTATTAGAATTTTTATTCGAGTTTTACAATGCAAAGAAATTTTCCTTTATGAAAATGATTGACTGTAAACCAAGTATGCTGCCTTTCTTTTTTTTTCCCTAAATTTCAAAGTCTATTCTCCTGTGGAAACAGAAGAAACAATATTTCACAAGAAGCAGAGAGCTGGTTTTGATCAAAAGAAGGTGTTGCAATAGTGTTTACATCCTCTGCAGCTTTCTGAGGGTAGCACTTTGAAGGTTTATACAGTCATGTCACAAGGGGAATTTGGTGGCAGTATCTCATGTGGTAGAATTTTTTTGCTAAATGTTAGATTTCCAGAATTCAATTCTGCAAACTACAATTTAGAGGCTATCTTCGTTCTTTTCACACTTACCTGGCAGGGTTTGTGTCATTACTGTGAAACTAATCCAAGACCCAACCTGTGGCAAAGAAAAAGGCACTCTTAATTGTATACTTCATGTAAAACAAAAGGGCAAGTTTTCAAAAGCTCCCTCTGGAAGAAGAGTGTGATTCTTGTCCAGGAAATGGGAGAGTAAAAATGGCTAGAAAGGAACCCTGAAGTGTGCTGGAAGGGGTGAAGAGATGGGTGGTAAATCCTTGGATCTCTGGGAAGTCTGTAGTGGAGGGGAATAGACACAAGATTCATAATATTGATGTGAGGGAGGACAAAGGTCTGGTAGAGAAACATTTGTGGGAGCAAGGAGATTCTGACATGTAGAATGTAATGATTGATGTCCAGAGGAAACTGCATGGAGGTATTGCAGATTTTTCTGCAGGCAAAGGTTGAAACACAGTAACCACCCACCCTTTCCATGGAAGCAGAAAAAGGTCAGGTACCTCATATGTATAGTTGGGACAGGATACCAGCAAGAAGAGCCATGTGAAGGGGTTGTAGGTTGGACTTGGAAAACATGCTTTACTTCCTTTATGAAAGGAAAAAGAAAGAAGGGAAGAAAAGCCAAAAGACAAAAACACTTTCAACACAGGGAGTGGAAATGAGCCTTATCACAAGGTGCCTGTGTAACAGCCATCCCCTTGACCAATGAGGACAACTTGCTAGAAAAGTTTCATTTAAATCTTTTAAGACAGCAAAAGATGTATTTATCCCAGTGACAGTGATGCTTAGGGAGCCATGCATCAGTTTTTACAGGAAGGTCTGGCATTTTCATAGGGTGCAATCTTTGTTTGGAGAAAGAACAGTTACTGAATGTGGACTAGCCAGCAGATGAGGGATCAGGGCACTCTCCTGAGATATACAGGATGCAGCTGTGTCTTATTCAGCCTGACTCGGGAGCATGAACCTGTCCCCTGTTGCATCCTTCATCCCAGAGCAGAACAGGAGAACAACTCCAGAGCTAACAGGATGGCTCTCTACAGCCACTGATAATGCTCACACAAAATGCCACATATGAAACACTTCATTCTGAAGCTGTGGCAACAGTGCTATCTTCAATACTTATAGACACTGAGAACATGGATGAATTATTCTGGTCTTGCCGCTTTTAAACTGATTAAGGCCCCTTTCAACAAACAACATAAGCACCCTCTTAACCACAGCACATCAAAAGCTTTCTAGAATAGGAACTGACTTCAGTGTGTGAAGTTGATCATACTGTGGTGAAGTATTTTCTTAAATTGGGTGTTATAGTGGAAACTACACTATTATTATCTGAAAATATATTTTACTTTCTAGTATTTATAGTATAACTTTTATTCTCATGGTACAAAAGGTCCTGAAAAGCTGTGCTTGGAGCAGCCTTTTAAGAGCAAACACTTGCAGTGATGTCTGTGTAGGTATTCATGTCTTTCTTTGTGTATTTATATATGTGTGTGTCTTTACATGAGATACATGTATCTAAAAACTCTGCAATCTACTTTAAAAATTTTTGAAACGTATTTTAAATTATATTCTCTGTTGTCAGCAGGATGCTTTAGAAAACTTCCCTGCTCACATACGTACTTAAATTGCAGTTGCGCCTAATTAAGATACATTTGTTATAAGCTAGGGAGAAACAACAGTGTTGCTAATATTTCCTTGCCACTATATTTATTTATAAGGTGTCATACTGATGGCATGATACCTAATTCATCTTTCTTTATTCTGTGGATGTAGATACATAAATTACTGTATACCAGTGGAAGATGGATAGGTTAAGCATACTTCACTCTTATATAGACAAACAGGAAACAAAGACAGACCTGAGTGATTTTGGTGAGCTAAAGCTACGTTGATAAAGTGATTTCCAGCTTCACACATCTGCAAGACATTAAAAACATATTTTCAGTTGTATGCCTAAAATGCTGTAACTGCATTGCAGCGCATAACCGAAATCCCTCTATTGCAACTTAGTCTCTGTGTCCAGAAAATATGTACTCCAAAATTACCCTCCCATGGGAAATATATTCTGTGATCTTGGTTAAACATAAGTGTCTAGTGAGCACTGTAGGTGCAGCCTGGGGTGAAAACCCATGTTTCAGCTCCATGGAGCTCAGCACAGAGTGGCCATCAGTGTGGTTCCATGCCCAGCACGTGTGACATGCTTTGCTCTGGGGAGACAGATGCTCACTGGGGTCTAAGGAATTTAGTAAGATACTTTTATAAGCTGAACATCATTGTCAGGATTTGGATTTAATCCAGTCTCCAAAGAAGCAGGTGAGAAGCTGACCGATTGCTTTGTAAAGATGTAATGAGCTTATGTGCCTACTCCCTACTCTCTTCCTGCATGCCCTTTCAAAGGCATTGAGCATAACACTCAGCTGTTGTTACACTGGTCACAGAGCACAGTCACCAGTTCTCTAGCTAAGTCATACAGGGAAGGAAAAATAGTGTGAATAAAGAGGTGGTGGCTCTCTGAAGGGCAGACTAGTTGGATGGACAGTAGTCAGGAGTTGGTAAATGAAGGGAACCAGTATTATTCCTGGTTCTGCTACTCTCTCGTTAGGCCATTTCCAGCCTTAACTAACCTCTCAAACTTGGTCTTTAATATTTAGATGATAGTTTAAATCTTTGGAAGAAGTACCATTTCTCATCACTTGATTATACAGCATGTATGTAGTACAAGGTGATTTCAGATTTGCTCATGGCTTTCAGTATTTCATCAATTGCAACTGTAGAATCAAACCAAATTACTACCCATATTTAAAGTGTGAAATGGTTGGAAAATACTTCCAATTCTGAAAAAGGAAGGATGTAAGTACAACAGCCTAATTTATGCTTTTTTTTCCTCCCCTCCTTTTTGAGGAAAAACAAAATTATACGTATATTTCAGACTTGGACTGGATTGAACTTTTTTTTAGTCATCTCTGGGTTTGAAGACTGATTTTCCCTCTCAAACTGAAAAAAAGCAGTATTACAAAGCTGTGGTTTCTTGTATCATCGTTCTATATTTTGAAAGGATGGAATAAAATTGAGAAATTAAAAAAAAAGGAAGACTGCTAAAAACTAGAGATGTTAACAGTGTAAAGTCATAAAATTAATACAGAAATGAGAAATACAATTGTAATTTTTAAAAGCCAATTCTGAACATAATCCATTGCAAACTTAATTTAAAACTAATTGAAAGGAATATGTAACTTCATTTTATATTAAAATGTGCCATTATCTGAAAGAACAATGTGTAGATAGCATTGCTGAAGAATTTTCCCCTTTTTGGCAGAGAGATTTCAGTGGGTTTTTTTAGGAAAGTTTAAATCAGTTCTATTAGCAAAGCAGTTTTTCTGCATGGATATGTAGTTATAGGTCAAATCCTGCAGTCCTTTTATGTTTTTTAATTACAACTAACTGGCTGACATCTATCATAAACACCAGATGTAAACCACTAAATAGCCAGAAAAGGAAATTCTATTATAAAATACCATAGCAGAAGCTATAATTCTAGCCATAGCAATAGAAGTAATTTTAATTTACGTACTTCCAATTATGAGCTAGGAACATGGGTTTTTTTTCTGATTACTATGATTTTAAAGAAAAAAGTTTCAAAGTTAAAACTGTTTTTGTGAAACACCGTACATACCGAAATGTGCAATGCTCACATTATTGTGCAGCAAAAGAAATCCACACGCTATAGTTAACATATTCTAAGCAAACCAAGCAAAGGGCATTTCTGCAGGGATTTTTATTGACTTACCTTTGACTCTGCAGCTGGACTTTGCTGTAATTAGCTCTTAAGTCCCTCTTTAGAAATGTGGCTGCTAATGCTCTGTATCAAGAAGTGCTGCTAAATGTAAGCTAGTCCTGAGTTAGTGTCTCAGATATAAAATATGGGGCAGTGGGGAACAGCAGAAAAAAAGCTTACCATATTTATGATGATAAAATATTGAAGTCTACATACTGTCTCTCCTCTTTATATTCCATGTGTACCCTACGATAAAAACATCCTTGCAAATCTGAGAGTAATTTTTCTAAATATGAGACTCTTTCAGAAGGGCCTCCTGACACTTCTCAGATTACTCAGTACTGTTGTTTACAGCAGCTGCAGACGAATACACTTAAATTGGGATATGTAATAAAGACAAGCCTTAAAAAACAGGAAATAAAAATCTTCCAAATATTTTATTCATATGTTTTAGAAACCTGTGAAAGTAGTTTCAAATTACTTTATTTTCTATGTTGCTGTTTTAAATTCATTGTCTGGAAACCTGCCAGAACAAGGTCTGAAAGGGAAAGGTTTTGAGTTTCCATGGGTACGAAGTTCTCAAAAGAGCTGCAAGAATGCAGACCACAGATGAGGCACTGATGCAGATCTGAAGGGAATGGCCATATTTTACTGAAAATATCCCCAACAGGACTCAAGTCTTTGCTTGATGGAGCATTTTCCATAAAAGCTATAGTGGGGCATTACCTTGAGGTAAGGAAGGATGTTTGATTTGAAAAGGAGGCTTTTTCTATGCAGAGGTTTCTGTGAGGACTAGCTTTACTGGCAGCACTGAATATTCAGGCAAGCAATTACTTGGTTTCAGGCAACCCCTGAGCTTGGGAAGGTAGGAGGCAATAAGGCTGTGGGCACACCACTGCCCACTGCTGCCACAACCTCCTGTCTCCACAGTATGGAAATATCACTTTTGGCTGTAGACCCCCACTGAGTATTTTGCTTCTCTTTGCTATACCTTAATAGAGCAGGAAAAGCTGAGAACTGCATAGCCAATCTCAGAGACAAACTGTGATCTTTAAGGGTCACGATTTAAGAAAGCATTCAAATATTGCTAAGGACTTGTTTGAACCCTTTTCTGAATAGTGTTTACCTGAAGGAGCCTAGATGCCTTACTGTCCCATCTTGCTGTTGTATTTCTGGAAACTGATCTGTATCTGATTTCCAAAGAGGCTGACTGCTTTAGCTACCGACTCATCCTTGCTTAGGCAAGTCAGCACTCCAAGTGCAATGCCCACAGAGGACAAAAGAGAATGTACATTTCCAGATGAGAACTTCTTAGTGAGCCTCTGGCTCACTCCAGTTATGCTCATTCAAACACCAGGTTTAGTAGTCTCAGCCGTTCTTCTTCACCTGTGCTTTCCCTTGCCTTAGCCCCCTTTGGCAGGGTTTGGTTTTGTTGTTTTAATAGCTGTTGAGGTTAAGTTATTCAGGGTATGCAGTATTTTGTAAAGTCTGCTTAGTATGTTATTCTTCTGTATTTTAAAAATTACAAGTTCCAACCTGTCTAAATGTTAGTATTTTACAGAATTATGAGTAGTAATAATGCCGATGATGTTCTCATGGCTCTCAGCTACAGTACTTCACATTAAGTTTTGTATAGGTAAACTGTACTAGGAGACTTCCTGGTCCAGAAACCTTAACAGATAATCACTAAATCCAGTCTAAGGACACAGGGCTGTGGTTATGATCTTGTATAAATATTTATATACACACAAATGCAGAGTGGTGTTACAGCATTTTGTTAAATCATGGGTTACTTCTATTCCACAGTCCTTAATAAAAACTTTATTTTTATGCTTACCAGAAAAGCAAGGGCAGCAAAAGAAACTTGTCTGTGGCCAAATGCTAGAAAACAGAATGAAATTAGAAATTGTATTTTACAGTATGCACATGGTTTGCTATGGATCAAATTAACCTAGTGCTGAGCAGCAGAAACACTTTCCTAGCAGGCTCTGCAGAAAGCGTGGATATTATCACACGCAGTACGAAGACAATGTAAATAGTAATGGCACTCCAGAAATGTCAGTGTCTTCAGTACAGATCTCAAGGCAGTTTTCACCTAACATTTTCTAGTATCTGTCAGCTTCATCTCTCCAAGTGCTCTGTCAAAGCAGCTGGTGGCAGTGAATTCCTCAGAAAGGCAAGGAGAAGGATGAAGTTATTGTCAGTGGCAGAACCAGGCCAGGAATCACAGCCTTATCCATAGGCACTTCTGTCCCCATGAGCAGAGAACCTATAATATAACTTGCCTTTTTTTTTCCCCTCGATAGTGAGGCTCTACTACATAGCCACTGCTTCACAACATCACCATGCAAGAAATGCATTTAGGTTTTGCAGTTCTTACCTACCTTTGCCTGCCCTCTCCTTTTTGGTCTGTCCCCAGACCACTATAGTGCTGTACCATGTTAATCTCCAAAGGTTTGCAGTTCTCAAGGAAACCATGGTCACGTCTGAGGGACACAACCCATATGTGTGAGCCATACTTCCCTTACAAGTCTCATCACACCTTTACATTTAAGAACCCTTTTTCTCTGGCCTGCACACAACACCTCTGTCAGGGCAAAGGCGTGTGCTAAAACTGCTCCAAACAACCCACACATGTTGACATGTGAGTATGTAGTTTCTGATCAGGTCTTCTCCATGGGGCCTTTCTCAGTGTGGTTTAATTTGCCACTCCTGCATAGCATTCTGCCACTACCTGCTTGCCTTTCCTTACCTGTCCCCAAAGCAGCCATCTCTGGATATGACTGTGGACTGGACAAATGGTTTCTAAAACATTTTTAGATTGCTAAAAACTGTCTAGGGATGTTTCAACATTGTTTGCAGCTTTACTGTTAAAGACACTCCAAATTTGACTCTTTCAATGAACCACATAATTTTGAAACAGAATCCTTGTGTTATTTTGAAAGTAAGTGCCATGCAGGAGAAAATTTTGATTGAAAAAGAAACGAGTAATTTAACTGAGCATAAATAAAAATGGCAAACCAAACCCTTTGATCCCAAAGCTCACAAATAAGTATAAGATACAGAGGAAAGGAAGGACTAAGGTGGGCAAGGAAAGTAAGGTAGCAGGAAACAAAACTGAAGCCAATTATGCCCAAAAGAAGCAAATGTTCAAAGAGTAAATACAATGAATAAAATCACGCAGTACAACAATAAAACACAATGAGAGAGAACAAAATGATGAATGAGATCTGGAAGAAAAAAAAGCAGGATTTTTTTTCATTGTTATCAGCAGTAGCTGATTGATTTTTAACAGTCTCTCACAGAGAAAAAAGAAATAAATCTTAAGTTCCATGGAAAGGATGTATCCTTAGTAAACAAATATCTCCTTCAATAAAATGCAGCCAGCTCAGGTTGGCTCCTGCATTCTTAGTACAAATATTGTGATGATGAGCAAAATATATTGATCTTTGTGATTTCTCCACTTGGCCAATATTTCCAGATCATAAAACTAGACAGGGATTGCCATTGCTGAACAGGAACAGCAAGAGTGCCTCCTGCACAACAATCTTCCTCCTGACAGCGAGTAAAGGCTAATTTCTGGACAGATTAGTCATATGATCCCAAGTGGGGCCATCTATTGATTTTGGAGGACTTAAGTTTGCATACAAAAAGCTTTTTGGAACCAAAGTCAGTTTTCTGTTCTGCTTATACATACATGGTGGCGTATATCGTGGGTGGTTGATGTAGTAGGCAATCCAGGAAGTGAATCCCCAGTAAAAGGCACAGCCCTGGAATGGACAAAAGATACTTTTCACTAGAAAGGGCGAAAAGGAAGTACAAACTATAACTGCATAAATCATTGTAAGTGCAAAACCCAGAAGATCACTGAAAGACTTTGCAGGGGCTTCCTGAGTCATAGAATGTAGATCTTGTTAAGATGTTATGAAGTCACTAAAAAAAAAAAAAAGGATGTACAGTGTAGATTGTTTTGTGTTGAATGTTTTGTGCCTGTTGTAGGAATTGATGTTTGTTTTCTCCTTACCTGATTCTAAAACTGAAGGGCATATTTCTCTGAGTTGTACTATTAAAAGTCTAGGGCTGCTTAACACAGCTGAGCTGTGCCATGTAAATAAAAGTGCTGTTCCATGAGCTGTTACTGTACTTTAAACTCAGCATTTCCAAGCAAGATAAAGCTAGCCAAGTAGAACAACTAAACCAGCGGAGACATTAGAGACCAAAAGTGAATACACCTAGTTTAACCCTGGCATAAAAAGGGCACACAGTTCCTATGAAGATGTTTGAGCCACACGCTGTATCTACTCCCATGGATTCAGCCCCACATCATCTTCTTGTTAAAAAGCAGCACCTCAGCTGCCTTTGCCTGGTGACTAAAAATGTGGTCTTGGGAAAGCCCAAGCAGAGTTAATGTGATGATGTTCTTGCCCTGTACAGGGGTCACTTTTCCCATCCTTCGTGCAAGGGAAAAACAAAACCCACCAGCCAAACTGAAGCCACCCTGGAGACTTGCTAAAGCCTTTCTGCGTGTCTAAGTTCAGGGCCTCGGCTCAGACCTTCTTGGGAAGAGCAGTGTGCTGGGACTGGCTACAGCTCCATCCTGCAAGTAGGGCTGCAGTCATGCAGTGACACTATGGTACATGCATCACAGACACGTTGGGACAACAGTAGCTGTAAGCCTTTACCTCCCACATCCATAAATCACTTTTGAAACGGCACTCTGGTTCCAAAACCGTTTAGTTGATCTTATCTTTTTTTTTTTTTAAGACTGTGTATTGCAAAACAATCTCTCTAGGTGTGTACCTCTTTACCTCCTTTCCAATTGGGATTGAGTTGAGCCCCCTGTCATGGCCATATATCTATGTCATTCGCTAAAATCTTAAATTTATTGCAAAACTTTTAAAGGGAGTGTCTTTGCATCACACTGAATGAGGTGGGGGATAGAGTGAGAGAAAATGAGCAAGATAGAGCATGTGAAATAAAAGAAACTCAGGAGGCTTTGGGAGACAGAAGACTTTAAGACAGCTCAATATCCTCCTTCCCGAGGCTTCCACTCACAGAAAGAAAAAAAAAAAATAAATTTCTTTCTACTTGCAATTTGATTTTAGCATCTTATTGCAAGGCCTGTCTCTTGCTCCATATTTATATTGCACTGTGGAAGTGCAGTGTGATTTCTGTCAGTATTCCTAGGTGTTGCAACAGCATATGTCATAATAAAATAGCGCTCAGTCTAAAAAATGTCCTGGACATGGCAATCAGCTTCTTGGGAGAATGAGCCAAAGTGGGCATTGACATGCAGGAGCTAAAATGGACATTGATTTCAGTTCATGTCCTTGGAGACATGGCCCTGAAGTTCTTCCTGTGTTCGTATTTTGACTAATCATAATTCCAGGAGCTAGAAAATAAATTATATTTTATTTTCCTATCTTCTTCCAAGGACTGCTTTGATAAGAGGATATTCTCTCTTACACAAAATGATAAACGTATTGTCACCTTTATCATATTTTTCAGAGGAGTGTGCCCTCCCGAAAACTTGTGAACAAATAACGTCTCCAGAAGATGTCTAATGTAGTGTAAACAATGGCAGAAGCAGGCCAAACTGGAAGACAAAAAAAAATAAAGAAATTAAGGTAAGCGAAAGATTGCTTTTTATTACTTCCCAGTTTAATGTCATAAAAGGAATACGGACTGATATTCCAAAACTGCAGAGTCACACTGAAACTGCTGGATTTAAGATATTGTCTTAATTGAAGCATCTGGCACCAAAGATTGATGGAATCATTTTCAGTGTTACACAAAGTTGCCTTAATTTTGCAGAGAAGCAACTTGTTTTTACTAGCCTTGAATTGAAAAGAACTCCTTGAGCTCTGGATGTGATACATAGACCTGCCAAGACATTAAACAGGACAGCTGTGTATACAAGCAGGCGTCTGCTGTGCTTTTCCAAAAGATGTCTCCCATGTTTTAATGCCACCTTAATGTTCATGTAGGATGTGTCTGACATTTAAAAACATTTTCAATATCTTCTGAATGGTTTCCTTGTCCTTTGCCAACTCGAGTAGCTGCGTGGAGGTAGTTTGTGTTTCATTTCCTTGTGGATGCAAAATGAGATTTTGTTGCAAAGTTAATCCATTCTGATGGCTTTTTTGTTACCCGTTACAAAGAAATGAGGTAATTGTTGTAGAAATTATTATCCTGATTCTCTTTTGAGGAAGATTATGGAACAACAACAGCCATTGCTCATTTGTTTCTGAGAATGAGTTGCAGCTCATAAAGATTGAGCTTCAGAAACAAATGTCAAGAGTGATTCCTGGTGGCATTTTATCTTGGTTACATTTACTGTACTACCAGAGCCCATCTCACTGCAAATCAATTATAAGACATAAAACATAGTTTTCAGCATGTGAAATCTCAAATACTTTTATTATGCATCTTGTATGGTAGCCAGAGTCAAAGATTAAACAATTTCAAAGTAATTAATTAAACAAGAGAAAGTTAAGAAAATTTCAAAACAACTGATGACTTATCCAAAGTCTGGAGCAAACTTCCAGCTTTGCTGAGTATTTTAAAATTAATTTGGCTTAGAATCAAGACCTCAGATGAACCTGGAAAGGAGTGGTCACTGCAAGGATTCTGTACATCTCTTGCCCACTTATAAGAAGGTAAAGGTATTGCTGCCTCTTCCGTGCTGCCAGAAACTCTCTTTTAAAATGTTGAGCCTCCCTAGCAGTTACCCTATACAGCTGCTTGCCACTTTCCTGTCTGTAAGTTTTTAATCCCTCCCATTGATCAGATCTGCTTTGTTTCTTCCAGAGTCCTTCAAAAGGCTTTGGAATGGCAGGGACTATCCAAGTTTGTAAAAAGCTGTCTTGTTTGGCTGCCCTCTCTTCATTGCTTTTTAACACGCTCTTGAGTTACAGCAGACTAAGCAGGTTGCATTTCCTTGTGGTCAGCTCCTGCTGTATTACATCAGAGCTGTTTTACTTTCCTTGTTAGCATTCCTGTTCCACTGATGGAGAGAAGCAAAGCTGGTTTACGCTTATATATGAGCATGTTGTTTATGTATGGCTAGATACAACTTGTGCTCTTTGTTGTTCTGTAACTGTGGCAGAGCTCTTGTATTTTTTTTGTCTCTTAAAAGTCTTTCAAAACTCAGTATGTTGCATATAACCCTGGGGGAAAATTGCAGTTTGAAGAGATTAGTTTTGAAAATCAGGTTACTAGTTCTGAATTCCTGTGGTGCTTCTTTTGAGTTTCTTGGTTGTTCTTGACCTGACTCATGACATGCAGACCTCTCTAAATTTCTCCTAGCTGTGCCCGGGTGAAAACTGGTGTGGGGATAGTTATCTGTTTCTGTGTTGGATGATGATGCCATGCATCTTATGAGTGGGAATATGCTGGAAAGAGACTAGGACAGGGACATCTGAAGTCTTGTCCTCTCTTCTGTCAGGCGCAACTTTGGGTTTCTACCCACTGTGTTTATTATTTCACCTTCTGTTTAGGCTGTGTGTCTAGAGTGCAAACTCTTTGGGGAAAATACTGCATCTCCCATTGTGACCAGGTACAGTGACCATTGCAACAAGGATCTCATTTTTGGTCAGGCTTATGAGTGCTGCTAAAATGCTAAACTGATATTGATAAGAAAAATCTGAAACTCCCACTGATTCTGTGACCAGGCATGCAGTCTCCAGCCCTCTGGCTCCCTATCCTTCAGGAAAACAATTCACACAAGTGTCACTTACTGAACCACTGGGTGACGAAAGTTCTTTGCACTTTCCACTTGATCATAAATAGTTGACAGACGAACATAAAAAAGCAGATATATTAGAAGAGGCCCAGTGTATTCTGTTAGAAAAAACTAGAAATGAAAAAGAAAATAGCTGTATCAGAGTAGGAAAGTGTACCATGAAAACCATGAAAAAAAAAAAATTCTCCTGTTCACAACACATATTAATCCTTCAAATGTCATTTTGGCTTCAATTTGAGGACTTAAATGACACATAAGGATTTTTCCACTGTCTCTTTAGCCACACAGTATAATCCATCTAGGAAATGAGAGAGGTTTCTGTGCAAAACATTAACTGAGTTGGGAATGTTTCATGGAAATTGGTGAAAATCACAGTTATCGCTTTATACTTTTGGCTGTACCATCAGATGCCTATTTGGAATCTAAATAACACTGAAAATCAAGGCTCAAAAGCTGAAGGTAGCTTGCTTTCTGCCAGTGTTTTTTGCAATTAAGCAATAAATCAGTTAAAAGCCAGCCAAGCACGACAGACACAAACATAGCCTTGAATCCTGATTGCTAGAAGAGTCATTTGGAAGGGAGGGATCATTGCCTGAAATGTGGTGGTGGGTGGAGGAGCAGGACCTGCCTGCCTGGTGTATGGTGCCTTGAGTCTTTATTCTGTGACTGAATGAGATTCCTCGCTGTGCAGGCATCAACAGAAGTAGCCTGCAGTGGGCAGACTGGGCAAGTGAGTTGCCCTTAACAGAAAGAAATAGTTTTGTCTCCCCACTGTCATCCCTGCTAGCCACAGAGAGCCAAGAGGAGATATGGGGACAGGGAGAGAAGGCAGAATTACAGCACTGCCATGGGCCACCTTCAGGTTTACGTTCTGGCTTTGCTTTGGTATAGCCTGTATTGCCTTTTGTCAGGGCACACTCTTAAGCTACAAACAGCTGGAGGAAGTAAAACATGGTTAGAGTGATGTGAGGTCTGGGTTTGATCATCTGTCCCTGCTGGAATGAATCTCAGAATAAAATGGAAATTATGTAGTCCTACATGTTTACAAGGACCAGCAAGTGGCAAATAATAACTCAAGTACATAGTGTTGCTTAAGGGATAATGGTTCATAACTAATGGGCTGGAACTGCTATAGAGTTGTAATGGATAAATACCTGTGGTTTAAGGAAGCGACACTGAATTTAGACTACCTTTCTCAAAAGTGGCATTTGGCAGGAATTCCAACTTCCAGTGGGCTGTTCTAATCACTCTACAGAAGAGCTTTGAAACAGAAAGGTTTTTGTGAAGAAATACACTGCAGTTAGGTTTTCTTCATTTGGAACCCCCCATACCATTTCTTTTCCTTTATTACAGCAGGAAACTTTTTGAAATTTCAGCCATTCATAGCAGGACTGTCTTCAAAAGTAACAGTCTTAAGTGTTCTCTACCAAGGAAATATCAAATTCTCTTTTGTTCCACGTGACACTATGATATCCGTGCTCCTTCTAGACTCTGCATGATCCCAGGAGCAGTTATGTGTCTGTGTGTATGAAAACATTTAATCAAGGAATATCTAAGAGCACATATTGTTGTGGAACACACCACAGTCAAGGTGATTAGAATTTAGTCTTTCATAGTAGCCATATGGTTCTATTCCTAACTGTGAGCCAACTGTGTGAGGCACTCTGCAAACACTGCAAGAGGCTTCCACTATTGCACCCTCATACGCTAAATATAGACAGTGGTGGTATAAGAGATGGAGGTGTAGATAATATGGTCTAGGCAGGTCACTGTAAGAGCTTGGAATGAGGTGCTTTCTTCAGTGTAGCTTTTCCTCTCAGCCGTGACTTGCACCACAAAATATACCCATAACTGCCAGCTTTTGCCATCTGTTTGGCGTGAGCATATTACAAAGCTGCCAGGAAAAGTTTGGCAGGACTTAGCACCAAGTTGTGGCTACCTGTTCACTGCATCAAGTGTTCTTCCCTTAACCTATGGCTGATTTTAAATGCTGAAAGAAGAAGGAAAGCTTCAGGATTTAGTAAAAAAATCCAGTCTCTATTTAACAGCCAAAGCTACCACCTACAAGATACCTGAATCCCTGTGACTGAGTGAGGAGATGTTATTGATGTCAGAGGTGGGATGCAGAGACCACCCCCCCCCCATCAGAGCAATTCAGAGAAGCAGCTGAGAGCATCAGCAGCAGCCTTTGAGTTGGGGCTTGTGGAGGTGAAAAGAATCAGCATGCTCAGGGTGCTGTACAGGGCTAGGGACAAGGTCCTGTCTTATGTGTGTCTGTCATATCTGACACAAAGCTTTAATAGCCCGTGTGGAGGCAGGCGGTCCAGGGTCAGCTGTGAGATTTGCAATCAAAGTAGCTATTGTCGGGCAGGCAGGACTGTATTTATCTGACTTGGTCATAACTGCTTCACACCACTGTAACAGTTAAGATCAGTAGCATTCTGTTTTAGAGTATGAGGTTCAATTGGTGTAGTGGGTTTGGTATTTTTTTTTACAATTTAGATGAGTTTCAGCCTGATTCTCTCTGTTGCAACTCCCATACTGCAACCTCTGCTCTCCTTCTCTGACCCACTGATTTTAAATTCATCAGAAATGAAAAGTGAGTTCCAGAAAGGCAGGTGGGGAAAGTGCTAAAAACCCCACAAGTTCAAGCAGGTGGAAGGGAAAGTGTCTTAAATTAAGACAAAATTGCAATCAGTACTAACCATTGGCAACTGAAGGCAAGCACCATTCTTTTACTATTGATTCTCCATGAATATATGCAATTAAGCCTACTTAGTATGTTTATACTCATCCCATAGTTGACTAATTGCTGGGCTTGAGGAGTTACTAGTTGTGTTATGGATCAGTTCAACCTATTGTTTTTAGAGATACTCAAAAAAAATAAAAAATCACTGAACACTAGTTCCTGCTAACATATCCTGTGAAAATAATAATCACATTTTAGACAACACCTTGGAAATAATAATGTTGTAGCTTGTATTTTCTGGACAAAAGAAATACCATTTCATGTTTCAAAAAAGCGATCATTTAAAACACAGAGCATTCCTCTTCTGTAGAAACATAAAAAACACTCAGTATTTAGAAGAAAATTACTTTTTCTTTACCATCTTGTAGGCCTGCCTAGATTATTTTGATGTATTTGGTGCAGCCAAGTACGATGGTCCATAGTAAACACAAAGACCTTTTCTTGCAGGAGCATTAGAGCTCTATCACAACATGCATGGAGCAACAGAACTTAACTGTTGAGCTTATCATTAACTCCCCAAAGAAAGAAAACAGGAGATTGACATTTTTTTATCCCCATCTGTAGACTCTATTTCATATCTTGCACAGTGCCTAGTTCTCTTCCCTTCCTTCTCTATATTGTATAGTCTATATAACTCATTCTCAGTAGTATAGTGAAAGTATATGTTCTTGAATCAAACCTTTCCTAGGCATGAACACCATACAGGCTGCTAAACTCAAACCTCTTTAACTATCTCAGTTATCACATCACTGGGGACCTGATTCAGCAATACCTAGACTGGAAACATCTACATAAACAACAAAACGAATATCTGAAATACGTCAAAAGAGAGATAAAGTAGGAGTCTCCATCATTCAAGAGATGATGAGACAAATGGGAAGACAGTACAGAATAGCTAACTTGCAAACCAGCAAGGTATCTCATCTTGCACAAGCCAGATTGTATTTGCTTCTTTCATCTCTATTCAGGTGCTCATGCCACTAATACCTTGCTGAACTCAGTAACAACCAGGTCAGGAACTATAATCCCAGAATTTACAAAGCAGGGGGTATATTTAGGGAGATAGGAATGCTGCAGAGGTGAAAGGAACTCTTCAAAGGGAATGTAAGGTGAATTTCCTGGCTGGTAGGGGCAGCTGGCATAGTGCCTGACACCATCCCTGCGGTCTGCCACGGGGAATGGAAAGGTTTTGATGTGAGTTACTAGTACCATGTGTACTGGTTGGGAAAAGTCAGGAAAGGGCAAAAGGAAGCTATAAAGAGAGGGGGTGGAGTGGAAGGAGTCTGGAGAAAATTCAACAGAATCTTTATAAATGAACATCCAACAGATTAGCAATCTTCACACAAGGGCATCAGCTAATTCCTCTCTGTAATGTTTATGACATGCCCTTCCTGTAATACTGCACAACACGCCCTATCTTGTATCGTGTTGCCTTTTGGCATGGTCTCACATTATCTCATTTATGACAAGCTGCAGAGCAGAGCTGAGGAAAGGCCATACAGCCTTTTCCATACTGATCCCTTCTTGCAGCTCTTTCCATGCCATGTAGGGGCAGTTTCCCAGTTTATCGGTGCTGGTCATGATGCTTTCCCTTCCACTGCCAATGGGATATGTGGGTTCAAGCAGGGGAAGCAGAGGGCATGGTATGAGGATAATACCTGCAGTACAGACAATGACTTTGGGTCATTGCCTGAAGCTCTCAGAGCAGTAAGAGATACAAAATAGTAACTGGGTAACTTTGATGGAAAAGCAGCTGTAGTACATAAATTATTTAATGGACAGAGCTTAGTTTCTCTGGTAAATGTGAGCCAAAGGCACCAGTTTCAGATCTGAGCCAGGGTCAGACTGAGACAGTTTGTACTGCATAAAGAGGAGGATCTAATGAGAGCAGACAAACAGACCATTGCTATGTGCATGTGCACAGAGAGCTACTGGGATTTCTCAGAGATCCAAAAGAAACAGGCACTTGAACCTCCCAAGTCCCCAGATCACATTAAACTTAGCATCTAACTACCATAGACTCCTTTTACAATCCCAGCCTTAAGTTCTCTTGAGCTAATGATCATTAAGACACATTATTAATTTCTGAAGTAATTTCTACTTCATATGTTTTGCTACCTCATTAAAGGCTATATAGTTACCTGGGGAGGATGACAGCATCATTTTAGCAGCATTTCTGAATCCTCTTAAAAAGTTTTGTATTTTCATGTTCATAGAAATCCACAGCAGCAGCAGCTTTGCATCAAGTGGAACAATTCTTAAGGGCTGCTTGAATATTCAGTGGGTTTTGTTCCAGTTCTTATGGAACTGGCTAACCCATTCTACAAAACTTAAACAAAGTGCACAGGGCCACCTGGAACTT